AACATATTCATGGTGAGTGGAACTTCTTTCCCAGGCCATAAGAGAGTTGTTACTCAAAAGGAGAGTAGAGAGGGTTGATCCCATTCCTCCAGGATTTTATTCCCATTTATTCATTGAACTCAAGAAGACAGGAGATTGGCATCCAATCATCGATCTGTCTCGACTTAATCAGTTTTTAAATCCTCCTCGCTTTAAAATGTAATCTTTTCTCAACCTATGATGACACTTTGTGCCAGGGATCTGTATGACCAAGTTTGATGCTACCAATGTTCCCATATTCCCTTAGCAGAATCTTCCTGGAGGTTTCTTAAATTTGTGCACAAGGGTCAGGTGCTGCAGTTCAGGGCTCTACCTTTTGATCTTGCATCATCACCTTAAGTCTTCTGCAGAGTTGTTCAAGCTTTTTCTCATCATCTGCATTCCTTGGGCCTGTGCACACATCATTATATGGATGATTGGCTCCTTCTGGCACCATCCCATCAATTAGGAGAACAACACTCAGATTCTTTTTTCAGAAGCCACAAAAGCAGGCTTCCTTATTAGACTGGGAAAATCTGTTCTGTCACCGAGACAATATCTTGTCCATCTGGGTGTGTTTTTCAGTACTCACTTAAGTTGTGCTCAACCAACCCTTATCAGGCTTCAAGCCATTTAAAGAGCCATCAGACTTTTACTTATGTCTCCTTCTCCTACTGTGTGGATGGTTCCCTCTCTTTTGGGGATGTGGGCATCCCTCAAGCCTCCCATTCCTTTGGGATGAGCACATATGATGTCCCATCACTGGTCATTGTGCATTCTCCATTCCTCCACCTTGTCTTGAGATTCTTCTGTTCACAGACGCATCTCTTCAAGGATGGGGAGCTTGTCTTCAAGGTCAGGAGTTCCAGGGTATTTGTATGGAAGATGAGTTTACCTTCCATAGCAACGTTTTCAAATCCCTTGCTATACACCAGGCAATGGTTCAAAGTCTGTCTCTCTTGAAGGGAAAAATTGTCATGATACATTCCGACAATTCCACGTCAAGAAAGCACACATCAATTTCTTGTCAAGGAAGCACACATTCTCGAGACCTTTGTTTTCTTGGATTTTCTCTACTGACCTCATTCCCATTGTATCAGTCTTTTAGCATGTCATGTTCCATGAGTGATGAATTTTATTGCAGATTACTTGTCTCAACCTAACTGGATTCTTCCAACTGAATGGATGCTACATCATGAGGTTTTTCAGTGGATTTGCTCTCAATTCGTGTCTCCAACGATCGATGCCTTTGTGACTCTTTGGAATTCTCACCTGTGGTTGTTTTGGTCTTCGATACCTCATCCTCAAATGTTGGCAGTAGATTCATTCAGTCAGGACTGGACAGGTTTACATCTGTATGCCTTTCCCCCAGTTTGGCTATTGCCTCGGGTTCTGACTATGGTTCGTTCCACTCCTTGTTGAATTCTCTTGATTGCACCATATAAGCCAGCTCAAATGTGGTTTCTGCTTCTTCAATATCTGCAGGAATATCCACTTCTACCTTCTCCACATTGGCAGTCTCTGTTGAGACAACCTCAATCAGACATTCTCTACCTAGATGTTCGGAAACTCAGTCTTCATGCTTAGAAGTTATGCGATCCTTTGCCTGACGTAAAGGTTTACCTTCTAAGCTTTCTCTGTATTTAACTAAATCTCTCCATAGGCCTACCATGGCCATTTATCAAAAGAAAACCCTCTTTAAACCCTCTTCATCCTAAAGTATCTACCATATTCCATTTTATGACTTGGGTATTTGAGAGGAGTCTTGCTTTGTCTATGGCGGCTTTATATAAGGCATCCTTATCCACTATTTTTCAGTATTCCAAATATCAGAAGGTTTTTGAATCCTCAGTACTATCAGGTCTACTCAAATCCTTTTCTGTTCTACCCAAACGATCTTTTCAATTACCGAATTGGAATTTTACAGTTGTTTTACGTGCATTGTCTCATCCTCCCATTGAGCCCTTAGCTTCGTGCTCGTTGTTTCACCTTTCTCTTAAATTGTATTATTTGTTGTTATTAACCTGTGAATGTCGACATTTGGAGTTGTTTCCAATCCATGTGCATCAGACTCTTTATCATTTCACATTTTTCCTGCTTTACCCTGATAGGTCTTTTCTTCCCAAGACTCAGGCAGTCAGAGAAGGGGAAAGATCCTTCTCACCAATCCATCTGCCAGCCATTTCTCACCTTTATGAACGCTCCGATCCTTATCATTTGTTATGTCCTTTTAGGGCCCTTAATTGTTATGTGGCTCGTACTAACTAATTTCAAGGTAGTAGGAATCGATTGTCCCTCCATTGGCGAGTGTTGTCCAGGCAGGTATACTTTCTCTTTTCAATTCTGCACTACCAACCACTTTCACTATAATTACTACAGGTTGCAACATGGTTTCCATAAGACCATCTAGGTGCCTACTGGATGGTATTATCTTATTATTATGGACCACAACTCATGGAGTACCATGAGTAAAGCTAAAGGGGATCCTGTCCATCCCTGCCAATCTTCAGGTTGAATATATTGGGGTCAATTTGCTTTTAAAAGTGTATGTAACTTGGTTCACCTATTGCACAGTTTTGAGAGCACTGCTCCTCAGGACTCCCCAATGCATATTATCCCCCCCCTCCCCAGACTTTATTAGTGGAGCTTGGGAGTCCTTACCACTTCCAGTTTCCAGTCACTTTGGTGGTGAACAGAGGGTTTTCCTCCAAAGTGTTTGAGTGGATTCCTCCAATCTTGGAGAAGAGGATGAAGTTTGGGGGGTCCTCCTACTTGGATCCCTGGATATTTTCCCCAGATGTCAGTAAAAGTGGCACTAACCTCCAGTTCAGATTTGACATGAAGCTATCGTTTGGGGGGTGCATGACCCTTCTCTTTGATCAATGATAGTTTTGTATATTGTTCATAGAAGGAGGTCCACTATGTCCTCATAACTCCATGGGCAAGCGGAATTTCTCCTTGCACACTTGGTTGGGGAGTGAGGAAGAATGTTCATAATACCAGACTGGATGAATTCTGTTACTTCGGTTGGGTACGGCATATACAATCCCGTCATTCAGAGCCTGGGGTGTTGCTTTTTGGACTTTCTTCAGGTGGAGGAGAAAGTTTGTCCACTTTGGTGTTGCTTATTTTTTTGTCATGATTCCAGTGGTGCAAAACAAGTCACTCTATGGCTATAATTTGGTATCCTATCAAAAGTATATATAGATATAACATTGCGGTCCAGTAGCCCAAGCCATCAACGTGGGATATAGGTACCATGAACCCTTAGTTCCAACCCCGAGTCATGGAACCTCGGCTATTACTCATATTCTATTCCACCTTTGATATAAGAACTAAGTTTCAGATGAAAAGCATACCTGTTCTGGATGTAGTGTGGTTCCCCCACTCTGGTACCTTCTTTATCTTGGTACACTCCTGTTGTATACAGATGCTTTCTGTATGATACATGCCTGCTCCAGCCCCTCCACCTTCTCAATGTGAGACTCTAGCTACAGTGTTAGCAGAGATAAGTATGTTTTGGAAGTAAACATTTTCCTAAACTGAAAATGTATTTCCAATAATACTTTCCTCTGCTGACACTCTCCTGACCTACCTCCCCACTAAAAGCCAGTTTATGTCTTGAAAAGTAATTACATTATCTGAATGAGTTGCTTATATGCAGTACCTAGATAGAGGGCACATTGAAGTTGGTGGAGAATTTTGCTAATTAGAATTTGCCAAGGACATTTGAGTGGGGTATAAAAGACTGGAGCATGCATTTTTAATGCTTAGATAGGCAAAGAGTTAAAACCCTGGAGATTGAGAAATAGCTATATATTATTGGAAGTACATTTTCAGTTTAGGAAAATGTTAACTTTCCAATGATTGTGATGACATAGATGGGTCTTGTATCTGTCTCAGTATGTAGGTCTGGGATGATTCATCCCTACACCAACTAATTCTGATAAGTATATCTTTATACGTATTTATCATATACTGTATGGCTTGACTTATTATCCTAGCCACTTTACACATATATGGTTCTGCTGACCCTCTGAAACATATAGGCTAGTTGAGCAACCTTTACATTTTGCCTATCTTTGCAACACTTTAGCCCCATGCAGGAGGTTCTTTTGACAGTACCATTTGCTCTACCCCTTGCACTGGGCAAAGATTATTATTACCTGCTTGAGATGGATGAGGTCTCCCACTAAGTGATGCTCTCATTAGGTTCCTCCCCCTCCCCCTAGTGGGCTACGCACTTCATAAGTTTCCCTGTCTCTTGATTTATTCTCAGATCGAAACTCATCTTTTTAATTTCTCTCTGTACACTGGTCCCCTCACCTTTTATTTGGGATTCTTGTTATTTGTTTTCTGAAGAATGGAGTAGCATGGAGGATGTGTTGCCCTGTTATTGATGGAGTAGTATAGTATAATGCTGATTGGGTCATAGACTGGTACAGTACCCATTATTACATGTAGGGATGAGAGTTTTGTTCAAAGGGATAGCACATATGCAAACATATTTCAGATATTACCTGTCTATCCTATGCATTCAGAGGTATCTATCTGAAATACATTTCAAAGTAAGGAAAATGTTAACTTTCTAAGGTTTTTCCCATGCCATTTCCATGAGTGTTGTCACAACACTACTTCTGAGAGTAGTATGACTGCCAACGTGGCATTGTCTGAATGGTTTGATGGTAGCCAATCACAGTCTAAACAATTAGCTCATGGCTGTGTTCTGGTGCAATAGAGGTATCACACAACCATGTGCATTTTATATATTTTCATTACTGCGTACCAAGAATCATTGTTTGCA